GCGGACAGCCTTGTTTGGCGACCCCTGTGAAATGGTCGTTCGACCCCAAATGGGGTCCCGACCCACAGGTTGAGAACCACTGTGCTACACAGACCACAACCCCCGTCCTTCCTCTTCCTCAATTTTAAATGATATATAAAATTGGGGGAAATTGTAGTACACCAAACTAAGATATAAACTAGTATGCTAAATAGTAAAGATCCTAGTCTCCATATAAGCTTCAAACCTCCAGCAAAAGAGGTAAAAATGAATATGCAAAAATAGAAAATACTGTTCAAGTTACTATTGTACAATTTTCATTTTTGAACAAAAGTTAATGCAGTTTAATAAAAGCGATTCGCTTTTATTAGTACTTGCAATATTAAACAAGTACTCTATAATATTGACCACACTAACTCCTATTGTTTGGGATGGTCCATTCTGAAAATATAAGCTTATATTATCATTCTCATACCATTTCAAAACTCTCTGATAGCACTCTTTTGGCCATATCATGTCAGCAAAAAGATCTAGTACATCATCTACACATGCAAAAGAAAAAAAAACCTCTATACTGCAAAAACAGCAATAAATAATTGTAACTGGTAAAAAAACTGAACAAAAATAAACATCAAGGCATTTATTTTACAATAATAGTTTCATCCTTAAATTACTTATTAAAATCTCCATCATGTTGCTGCATTACACACACACACACACACGTGTGTATATATGTGAATATGGAATAATTCAACACAACATTTAATATCTTTAACATTAAAAGATTTCTCTACAAATTTTGTCACATATATTAATATGTTATTTCAAAAAAATGTCAATGACTAATAAGACCAAATCATATCAGTCAACGACTCCTCATATTTTTTACACTGACAACCAAATTACATGGCAATCCTTTAATGAATCAGTTTTAAACTGGAATCCACTGAAACCAATTTAATTATCTTTAAGACCAGCAATCACTATATAATATTCAATACTTTAAACCCAAAACTGTAAATGCCATTATATCAACTCTGAATTATTCTTTAGTTTTTGATAGAAATATAATGTGAATTAAGTTTTAGACACCGACTCCATCAAAAACAAAAGCACTTCAAGTTTCTTGGAAGCAACCAAAACATCTGGTCCATACTGAGCAAACAAAACATGCCTGAGCTGATTATGTGCCACTGTTGTGAAATAGGTAGGCCAAATTTTAGTGGAATTGTTGCAAATATGAAATTCAAGTTTTCCATTCCTTCACATACAGGTAGTCCTCAACAGTCCAGAGTTAAGAGCCTCAAAAAGAGTGTTTTACCACCTGGCTGTCATAAAATATCACCCCACCTCACATGATTGTATTTCAGGTGCTTGGTAATTGGCTTGCATTTAAAACTGGTTGCTAAGTCATTAGAAAATCAATGGGGAAGCCAGCAGAGAAGGTTGCAAAAAGAGGATGAAGAGGAACTCAAATTCCTTGGTGAGCTCCAGGAATGGGGCCAAAATCATGAAAACTTCAGCTCCATTCCTGCAGTCCCACAAAGGATTTCCCTTCTGTGCATGGAGGAAACCCTTTGATGGGCTGCAGGAATGTTTGAAAGTGAAAAGGAAGTGCCAGGAAGATTTCAAATTCACATGAAGCTGAAATCCTGCCAGCAAGCAGCTCTTCACTCCTTTCATTTAATGATCTGGGACATTGCTTAACAACTGCAACAGGGAGTTCTGTGATTATGGTCATTGCGTGAAGCACTTACATGGATATTTCATTAATCACTGCTTCCCTCAACAACTGAGATTGCAGTCCAACGATGGTCATAAGTCAAATACTACATATAATAGTAAAAATAATTTACAGACTATGCAGTTATATAGTAACTAAAACATTAGAGAAAATATCTTAAAAGTACTGCAATAAATAAAAGTGATCTAGTAAACAGGAATTCACTCTACACAGGTAAAAACCCAGAAAATACAAACAGAAACATGTTATTATTCAGATAAAAAAGTACAAATAAAAAATATCCAGCAACATATATTTTCTAAGAAAATTTAAGAGGTGGCTATGAACCAACCTCCAAGACCCAATCTGGCATAGTGGTTAGGGCTTCAGGCTAGAAATCAGGAGCCTGCCTTAGGCACAAAGCCAGCTGAGAGTGACCTTTGCCCAGTCACTCTCTCTCAGCCCTAGGAGGAAGCAATGCCAAGAAAATTGCAGGAATTTGTCCAAGCAGTCACCAGGAATCAAAACATAACCAACCTCACATGTTAAAATAAAATCCACCTCCAGCTAATTGCAGCGAATATGAATTTTATCATTCTTCACATATACTTAGAACAGCAACAATCTCATTACAATTACTTCTCAGCCTCCTCTGATTTGCAGTCTCTAGTTTTAAGCTAGGTACTTAGCCTCTCAGTGATGATAGCAACAATATTTCTGACAAGAACAGACTTTCCGTAACAGTGGTGTCAAAATACATAACTAACATTGCCACTGGGAATCAAGGTTGTTTATAGCTACTATATGAGCTGATTCTTAGTCCTGCTGTCTCTGCTAATTTTTTATCTAGATTCTAGAACAAAGACAATCCTTAACAGGTTTCAGTCTAGCTGAAACCTATTAAGCGAACTGGGGATAGGCAACATGGAAGTAATGGACACCTCTCAATATGGCAAAAGAGTAAACTACTGATAATGATATTGTGATTCATCCTCCTCCCCAGGAGGCTGACCCCCTAGGGTCACCAAGAGTACTGTAGTGTCTGCCTCCTTTACAAATTGATTCTGGACCTTAGTGGATTCACAGACTTTCTTATTTAGATGGAAAAAGTGAAGCATTTTATATCGCTTTAGGTAATTCAAAATCCAAAAGGGAAGAAAAAAATAATTTTTGGAAGATGCTATGTGCTACAGGAGAGGTCAGGAATTTGGAAGATTAAGTAGAGTCAGTTCAATAAAAACTGCAGCATTATATACAAAATATATGATATGTAGGTTGTAGAGCAGAAGTTCTCAACCTGCGGGTTGGGACCACATCTGGGGTCAAACGACCATTTCACGGGAGTCGCCAAACAACGCAGTCCGCCATTTTTTCCCCCTTTTCCTTAGCTGTGCTACTCCTTTTTATTCTATTGGCTTTTGAAAGCCAATAGAATAGACTCTCTTGAATAGAGTCTAATTCTATTGGCTTTCAAAAGCTAATAGGAATTTTCCAGGCTGTCTCTGCCCTGCTGAGCCTGCCAAAAGTCCCATTCTGCAAACGGTGCTTCAAGTTGTCTGCAGCGAAGGCGAGCTGTCTGGAAGTTTCCACCCCTCCCTGCTGAGCAACTATTAAAAATGTAAGTAAAAGAGGGCCAGGGGTGGGAGGTGGCAGGCCGGCGGGCGCAGGGAGGGTTGCTGACGCGCATGGGGCCCGGCGGGTGCCTTACCTCCCTTGGACTGGGCCAGCTGGTGGCCCAGCCGGTGGTTGGCTTGTGCCGTCTCTGCCGCTTGCCAGCTACGCCTCGGCCAGCGCAGGGGGTGGCACCATGCATGCACGGCGCTCCCAGGCAGAGAAAGTCCTCGACTTATGACCGGTTGGGTAGTCCTCGACTTACGATCGGTTGGGGGTCACGGCATTAAAAAGGTTGAGAACCACTGTTGTAGAGTAATATTCTGCTTTTCATTAAGTAATTCAATGTACAAAGTTCAACTATAATCCCCAAATATAATTACTGCAAGATAGTTATGTCAAACTTACCACTAACACAGCGTAATGGCTGAACAGAAACTGAAGTCACACTTTGGTTAGGGCAGTTTGCCATTGTGAATTATGTTCTCAATTATATAATTACAGTACCTACAATTAAAGTGTTATATTACTTCACCAAAGAGAACATATATAATATTTTAATAATTTTATAAAGTGAAGCAATAATAATAATAACAACAGTAGCAGCAGCAGCAGTATTGGTGCAGTGGTTAGAATGCAGTACAGCAGGCTAATTCTGCTAACTGCCGGGGTTCAATTTTCACCAGCTGAAGATTGACTCAGCCTTCCACCCTTCCGAAGTTGGTAAAATGAGGACCCAGATTGTTGGGGGCCATATGCTGACTCTGTAAACCACTTAGAGAGGGCTGTAAAGCACTGTGAAGCTGTATATAAATCTAAGTGACATTGCTATTAAATCTCATAAAAAACTGCGTACACAAACATCTACCACCTAAACACTATTTTACCATTCATGAACTCGCATCCAACTGTATCTCTATATTTTCCGCTGTATCAACACTAAATCATTAAATCTTTGATATGACTCATCTTAGGCAGATTGATGGTAGTGTCAAAAGTCATGGGATATATTATTAATTCAAGCAATGCAGATCGGTCTAAAAAAATACCAAATCTGTGGTTATAATGGTTCAGCTACGCAACTAAATGTGAGGGGTAATTTTACTTTAATTTACTTCAGTAAACTATTTTTGAAGTTAGTATTTTTAACTAATAATCAGTAAATGCCGTTATAAAAACATCCACAAGTATTTTTACAGAAATACATACAAGTGCTTAATTTACAACTGATGCATTTAAGACTAGGACTATTGCCTTAGAAAAAAATATTAGGAAGAGTAATGAGACCCAACTACTGAAAGAAACGCTATTTTACTATTCCTTCTCCCGCATCAAATCCTTGAATCCCTTCATTATACTTTCCTCTCAGACCCCTTTCTTCCCTTGAGATGCACATACGTAAGGAACCAAGCACGGAAGTATGACAGGGAACTGAAAGGTCTGTTAAGGAACTCCCGAGGGGCGGATTTAGCCGAAATAAAGGACTTTCTGCTGTCTCCCCACTTCCGATCCACTCGAAGTGTTCCCTCTCTTATAGTAGCCCGCGTTTCTGGTCCAGGCATCTATACAGGCTGGGGGAAGGAAACCGATGCTGAGGCCCAGAAACTGCCTGGCACCGTCTCCTTCTCCCACCCCGCCCCTTCCATCAAGGCCCGCAGGACGGCTTTAAACGTATGGAAGTCATTACCCAAGCCTCGTTCTCCTCCCCGCTCCCCCAGAGGGGAGCGCGGAGTGGACAAGATTTTTTCAATGGCGCGTGGGGCAGCAAGGATCTCCTTCTGTCCGGAAGCGGCTCCGCAGTAACAGACCGAAGGTTTGTCTCCCCATTCTCCGCTCAGAGAGACACACACGCAGGAAATAACACAGGGTCAGCTGACAAAGCCCAGCCAATGACGACGGGGCGAGACAGCGCGCGCAAAAGGGAGGAGTACAAGACAGCGGGCGATGCGGGTGGAGTTGTGCGTGCATGCGTTCGTGCGTGCCTCAAAGGCGCATAAAAAAGTCAGCAGCAGGCACCTCCCTCTAGATCAAGGATTTAAAGAGGCAGCGCCAGTTAAGCGCACCTAGGTAAGTCAGTAATGAGAAGCAAGCTTACAGTTGTACTAGTGGTTGCTTGTCACGAAATGCTGTGAAAACGTGGCCTCTTGTCGCCTCTTTTAACGCTGTAATGCTTTTCATTTTCTATTCCGCGCAGAATTACTTGAAAACAAAACTTTGAATTACGGCTTTAGAGAATGAAGCTGCAAATATGGACAATTATATAGCTGAAACTGCTGCTTCCCACTCAATAACTTCACACCACCAAGAAATAGTGACCAGAACATTAAAATGTGTGGCTCATCCAGCCTACATTTGAAACCCCAGGAAGGTAAACTTTGGGATCTGTTGGATGCCCTCAGAAATGGCCAAATAAGGTATTACAGTATTCTTTTGCTAAGTCCAACATACATACAACTATGGAAGTTAGCACTGGACAGTTACACTGAAAAAGGCTGGTGTACAAATGGGACATGTTCTTGGAGGTCACTCACATTTTCAAGTTTCTATTTTGCAAACATTTACTGTGAATGTTAATTATTTTTGATGTACCAAATATACTGTCTTCCCTAAGATCTAAACTTAGAACTTTGTCCATAATGGTAGCTTTTCAATTGAAAGTTGATGTACAAGTTATAGGGGGCCTGTAATAAGAATATGATACAGTAGTTAGAAATGAAAAGGAATCAGGTAACACCTTTTTGACAGATAAGAGTATATAGAATTATTCCTTGACTTAGGACCATAATGGAGTCTGGACTTTCTGTTGTAAGTCATGATGGTCATAAATTGAAGCACTCATGTGAGTGACCTGATTTTACAACCTGTTTTGCATTAGTACCGGTAGTTAACTGAACACCACAGTGCGTTCAGAGAATGTGCCAGTCATTAAATGAACACCATGGCCATTAAGTGAGTCAATACATTCCTATGAGCATTTTTTGCTGGAAATGTAAATTGTGTCAGATGACCATGGAATGCTTCAATTGGCTGTAAAAGGGAGCCAATTGCTAAGCATCCAAAGTGCAGTCATGTGACTGTATGGGGGGGGCATCTCTGTTAGCACTCCAGAACTGGGTCATAGATAGGTTCTGAGGATCTGTTGTAATCTCACACCATTGTTAAGTGATTGGTCATTAAGGGAGGACTATATTACAGTATTCATGATAAAAATACATTTTGCCGAAGTTCTATTTTGAAACTATTTTGAGAAGGTTCAGGAATTTTATTGAGGCAAAGCCAGCTTTTCATTCTCTCCACTAAGCAAGACTTGCAGAAAACATTCTACCATCAGAATATTTTTTATATTTGTATCCTAATCCTAGAATTATTTATTCAGACCAGTAAACTTTATAAGATTGGTCCCATGGTATACTGTATACATTATGCAGTGTTTTGTTTAAACAGCACAAATTATTTGAAAAAGGCCTAATACACCAACACCTTAAATTACTGAGATACATGGTTTGCTAATAACTTAGTTAATACTGATATAATACATTAATATGTAAAAGAAATCTCCCCAAAACATGTACTAAGATCATGATAAATATGATTATACAAAATAACGATTAAGTTAGCATAATTGATCAAAACATCTCCAAAAGAATAAAATCAGAATTTCCTTAATAGCAGAAGGACTAGTAATATCTGTGTAGGACCTGTGATGGTTCATGAATTTGGATCACTCAATAATAACAATATGGGAGATCAAGGACTAAGACCCAAAGAGGAAAACCACAACCTAGTACCTGTATTGCATCATGCGTGGAGTAAACTACAGTAAATATCCTGCTAAAGGCTTCGTTTTTTGTTTTTGTGTTTTGCAAGTTTTAGGACTGAATAAGTTCTTTGAGCTTTGTTTTAGGAATTTGTTTCTGGGATATTTTTTGCGTTTCCAGGAATGTGTTTATTATGAATAAGTTTAGCTTGAAGAAAAAACTGCAAGCATAATTCATGTAATCAGTCATTTGTAATTTCATTGTCAGAATCTGAGGGTTATAAAACAATAAAATATTAATTTACCTAGTGTCTTAGCAATTTCATACAAAGGAGAGGTGTACCAAAACACACTACACTTTACGCTTTGTAACTGTGCGATAATGTGCAGAAGGGCTGATACTTCATTTTTTTCCATCCTAATTTCTTTTTTTCTTTAATCACATGATTGGTATTGGGGTAACAAATACCACTAGATACTGGCTAATTTAAACACAAAAAGAAAGTATCACAAGTTGAAATGAGAAATTTTCTCTTCTCCAACAGTTGCCAGAACAGCAATAATTTTTTCACCCAGGATTTATAGTTAGCTGGCAAAAATTGTCCTCAGAATGGCAAAAATGGACACTAAGTCAATAAATCTTCATTATCGAAATCATTAGAAGCATCCCTAGTTGGCAGTACACAAAAATGTTACTATTATGAATACTTCATCTTTTTATACTGTTTCTTTTAAAGGCATGCTCAATTACAATATGTTTTTATGCAAACATTGTTTTGGAGATTTAAGTTTTTTTAAAAAGCATAAGTAATCAAGTCATAGTTACCTTAAATATAATTTTAGAGCAGAATAACTACATCAGGAAGAGTGGAGGAAAGGTTTTGTTAATCTGAGACAAGAAAATAAACACAAACTGAGCAGTAGCTCACACTAGCTTATGACTTGCAAAGATGAAGTGAGGAAAGCTAAGGCTCAAAATGAACTAAGGCTTGCAACAAAAGTCAAAAATAACAAAAAAAGCTTCTTTCAACATGTAAAAAACAAGAAAAAAGTTAAGGAAATGATTAGTCCATTATTAGGAGAAAGTGGCAAGAAGGTGACAAGCAACAGGGAGAAAGCAGAACTACTCAACTCGTTTTTTGCATCCATATTTACACAAAGGGAAAAAAAGTCCAACCTATCAAAAACAGTAAAAAACAGATTAGAAACATAAGTGAAGATAGGCAAGAAAATGGTAAGTGAGCACCTGTCCAGCCTAGATGACTTCAAATCACCAGGACCTGACGGACTACATCCCAAGGTTCTGAAGGAATTGGCAGATGTGATCTCAGAACCACTGAACTATATTTTTCAAAGATCCTGGAGCACTGGGGAACTACCAGAGGGCTGGAAAAGAGCTGATGTAGTTCCCATTTTCAAAAAAGGAAAAAAAATGGATCCAGGAAACCACAGACCTATCCGTCTGACCTCAATACCTGGGAAAATCTTGGAAAAGATAATCGAGCAACGAATCAGTGAACACCTAGAGGCAAACAAAGTCATTACCAAAAGCCAACATGGTAAGGTCATGCCAGACTAATCTTATTGCATTCTTTGACCAGGTGACAAAATTAATGGATCAGAGGAATGCTGTGGATATAATTTACTTGGACTTCAGTAAGGCATTTGATAAAGTAGACCACAATCTACTACTTGATAAGATAGAAAAACGTGGGTTAGGGAGCATCACCACCAGATGGATTCGTAGCTGGCCAACTGGCCCTACTCAGCATGTAGTTCTCAATGGAACCGCATCTACATGGAGGGAAGTGTGTAGTGAGGTGCCCCAGGGCTCTGTTCTGGGCCCAGTGCTCTTCAACATCTTCATCAATGCTTTGGATGAGGGGATAAATGGGGAACTTATCAAATTTGCAGACGACACCAAGCTGGCAGGAATAGCCAACACTCCAGAAGATAGGCTTAAGATACAGAAGGATCTTGACAGATTTGAACACTGGGTGCTATCTAACAAAATGAAATTCAATGGTGAAAAAAGGTTCTACATTTAGGAAGAAAAATCAAATGCCCAGGTATAGTGTAGGTGGTACCTGGCTCAATAATAGCAGTTGTGAGAGGGATTTCGGAGTCCTAGTGGACAATCACTTAAATGTGAGCCAGCAGTGTGCTGCAGCTGCCAAAAAAGCCAACACAGTGCTAGGCTGCATTAACAGAGGAATAGAATCAAGATCACGTGAAGTGTTATTACCACTTTACAACGTCTTGATAAGACCACACTTGGAATACTGCATCCAGTTTTGGTCACCACGATGTAAAAAAGATGTTGAGACTCTAGAACAGGGTGTCAAACTCAATTTCATTGAGGGCCGCATCAGCATTGCGGTTGCCCTCAGGGGGGCAGGTGGGTGTGGCCTACTGAGTGGGCGTGGCCAGCTCTACATCATTCGCATCAAGGGTGCCTGTGGGGGCTCGGGCAGGAGTGGGATAGATCTGAGGGTCTCTGGCAGAAGGGGGTGAAACCAGGGCAAGTGCCAAGGCATGATCCACTGGAGGAGCCTCACTGTTCCTCTCAGTCCATGCCGGGGGGGGGGGCTGGATGGTGACGCAGGCTCCCCGGAGCCCTGGGCAGCAGTGGTCAAACACCAGCCTGGCCCTCAAGCACCCGTGGCACCAAGCCCAGCCCCACTTCCCCAAAGGGGTGCCTAGCTGCACTTACCTCCTCTTCAAGGCTGCTGCTACTATGCTTGCTCTCCTTACCCAGGTTGCTCATGATGGGTATAAGGGCAAAGTCAGAGGGAGGCCCATTCCCTCTCCATGGGAGGAGACCCAGCTTTGTATCCAAAGTTTCCTTAGCAATAGGATGGGAGACCCCCAGGATAGGCCAGGAGGAGGGGGCAAGGGGATGGTGAAAGGGCAGCAGAGCAGGACTAAGGCAGGACTTCCCTCAGACCCTCCCTCTCCTTCTTTCCTTCCTTCCTTCCTTCCTTCCTTCCTTCCTTCCTTCCTTCCTTCCTTCCTTCCTTCCTTCCTTCCTTCCTAAGTACAGAGTGGTGGGAAAATATCTGAGATGAGGGAGGGAGAAAAACAGG